AGATGCTAACTGCATTTCATTGGCTCTGTACTTGTACTCTGCATAGTGACAATAAAGTTGAATCTAATCTAATCTAAATCTAAAGAGGAGATGCCATTTTTGTCAATTTGACCGTGTCTGCATGATGAAAATATGTGCAATGAATAAATACCTGCACTGCAAAAAATGCTTTGCTTACTTAGAATTTGTGTCTCCTTGTCTCCAGTCAAAATCTCAAAATATTCTTAAATCAATATGCATTTTCTACATAAAAAAGACATAAGGTATTTAGTCTTGTTTCCATGGGGGGAAATTTTTTTTTATTTTGCTAATTATCTGCCAGTGGGGTAAGAAATAAAAAATATGCATGTTGCCGTATCATTTTTCATCTATAGAAATTGCATCTTAACGTAAGAATTTTTAGATTTTTTTACTTGAAAGACAAAAAAATACTCAGTAAGAAAAGCATTTTTGCAGCATGAATAAATGAATGAATTAGGTATTTAAACATCGCTTACACTTTAAAAAGGGGAAGGAGACCGTAAGAAACTCTGGGTTTACCAAAGAAAACCTGCTTCCAACCAGGTTAGGTTCATAGAGTAAGTCACCACGGTGGCTGACTCTGAAATAAGTTACCTCTCTTTTAGAAACGGGCTTGACTTACTCTGCTTTCTCGGGTTTGACAAACCTCCCATTCTGAAACAGAAAACCCAGAGTTTCCCTAATTTCAGGGTTAACATACTCAGAGTTTTAATTTAACCTCTGAAACAGGCCCCAGGTACAGCATTGCACTTGAGATGTGAAGCACTTGGGTATAAGGCTTGATTAAATAGCTCAAAGACTTAAAGAAGTAAACTAAAATGACATGGTTGCTTCAGCAAATGTTTTTATCTCGTTTGCTTTAGTTAACACTATTGTTTAGGGTTTAGTGTATTTGTAGGTGTTTTCAAACACAATGGAGCGTTAACCTTTTAGTGCCAGTAAGAACTTGGTCCTTTGTTCACTTCATGTTACCAGAAATTCATTTACAAACAAGGCACAATTCGATGCAGGATTTTCAGAAAGATTGAAACTAAAGGACGATGCTGTACCAACATATTGTATCCGACAGTACTGTCGCACTACCCAAGTGTGAGTAACTGTTTTTATTACGTGATCACTGTTGCTTTGTCTGTTATTACAGGTAGTTTGTATTTATGTGTTTTTAACCTAAATCACAGCAGCGTCCATCTATGAAGGATGTAGGCTGTCAGACAAGGCTGTCTACAATGCGTCATGCCTATTCAAACAGAGCGTTCCGATGAGGGGGGTCAAAACAGGACAGAAAATAGCTTACTTATAAATTATGTTTTTGAATGTAAAAATCTTGATAACATTATAAGTGGACCTCAGAGAACAGTACAAAATAATAAACAAGGGCAGTTCATGACCCCTTTTTAACTATCATCCTAAGGATCACATTTGCAACATGCCTTTTATTTTTTAACCATAGTGGATGTCCTCAACACAGTGAGATGACAAATGTGGAAAGCAGTACAAATTGAAGTGGCTTTATTGATCAGGAAACAAGCACAGCATTAGCATATCTGGACCTCACAGCAGTCTACAAAGGGAGGTGACCCTTACATCAAAGCAGTGATGAGATGATGTAGAGCTCTGCTAATTCCAGAGGTGATCAAATCACAATGGTTTATCAAAGTCATGTGACACAGCAAAAGCATCATTGAATTTCTCTGTGAAGTGTTACTCTTTTTCATAGTTCATTTCTTTGCATCTGGAGCTGACATTTGTCATTCAAATGGTCTCTCCCTGATACCAAATCCCCTCCCCGCCCAACCATAGCTAGAAATCTCATACACAAACGTACTGTACATGTAAGCTACACACAAACTCAACAGTCACACTTCTGTCACAACTTTATCCAAACCCCAGTGGGCCTTTTTGATGTACAGTATCAGTGCTGTTTTTGTGGAGCATATGGCAGATGCTTTCAGCTCAGGTACATTGAGATTCAAATTCACTTTGTCTTTTTGCTAAAAGGTTGTAAGACTAAATGTAAACTGACACCTTTCAGAGAATTCACACTTTTTTTTACCGCTACTTCTGTTCCCACTGAATATGACAGCACATTTTTGAAAATCACTTCAAAGCAAGAATCGCAATGTCAGTGTCTGGCGACAGGATAATTTTTCTTACCATTTTAATTTGCACTTGTTCTCACTCAATAACGACAAACCTGCCTTTTGATATAATAGCCCCCTTAAAATTTTTTATATATATATATACATATATATATATATATGTGTGTGTGTGTGTGTGTGTGTGTGTGAGTGTGTGTGTATATATAGACACACACACACACACACACACATATATTTTCCTCAAAAAGGCAGCATACTTCAAAAATATACCATTTATATATCTATATATTCCAGATGTTTCAACAAAAGTATAATTCTAGGGACATTCACACCAAATGAGAAGAAACTATTTTTTGAGCATCTGGTAAAATAGAGTGGATTATTACATCATTGGATCCCTTTAGAAACAATCTCAGAGTACTCATAAATCTTTTAGTACTTTAAAGTATTGAATCATCTTTTAATGAAAAGGTTTTAATGTTTTCACTGACAGATCCCCACTGATACAACATAACTTGAATGTGTTTCCATTTCCCATTAGTGCCATATTTACACAATGTTCATATTTATCATTTGGTTTGCAATGGTACGTATGTAACAAGCCTAGGACACAATAGATAATTCTTTATAGTTTTGAACTTTACATTGATATAGACATTGATATATATACAGGTGCATCTCAATAAATTAGAATGTCGTGGAAAAGTTCATTTATTTTAGTAATTCAACTCAAATTGTGAAACACGTGTATTAAATAAATTCGATGCACACAGACTGAAGTAGTTTAAGTCTTTGGTTCTTTTAATTGTGATGATTTTGGCTCACATTTAACAAAAACCCACCAATTCACTCTCTCAACAAATTAGAATACTTCATAAGACCAATAAAAAAAACATTTTTAGTGAATTGTTGGCCTTCTGGAAAGTATGTTCATTTACTGTACATGTACTCAATACTTGGGTAAACTTTTCCACGACATTCTAATTTATTGAGATGCACCTGTGTGTGTGTGTGTGTATTGAGATTCAAATTCACTTTGTCTTTTTGCTAAAAGGTTGTAAGACTAAATGTAAACTGACACCTTTCAGAGAATTCACACTTTTTTTTACCGCTAATATATATATATATATATATATATCAATGTCTGTTTTATTCATAACGTCAGTATTTGGAATGTTGATAAGAGTCATACGTATCTAGTGCATTTACTGAACCTGTGAATCGGGGTGAGTACATTTTTAGAAACATTCTGAACATCAAAAATCTAACTTCGCCACACAGCAACTAAAAAATAATGGGGAGGAAAAACAAAGAGTAAGGCCACATCATAAATTGCACACAATGATTCACATGACAATGAATGTCCCAAAATGCAAGCCATCCTTGTCAGGGTTTTTCTTGTATAGAACTCCATTTAACCAGAGATCGATTATGGCATGACTAATAATGGTTAGTGGAATGAGCACCTCCAGGTCTTCTTCAGTCATGCAGTTCTTGTCACTCCCACTGCTTTTCTAGAGTCTCATCATCATTCAATTAAAGACAACACATAATAATCATCAGCTGTACTTTTGGAAAGAAAAACATTCATATTCACAGACAAAATTATACATGTGTGGGCAGCCCATTGACATTGTGAACCCACACGAAAGCCGTTTGTAAAGATCTACTTCTCCTGTTGATCCACTGGTACATTTTCATCAACTTCATCTCAACATTCTTTTCTTTTTCAAATCTGTCAAACTAAGTATAGAACGTGACTAAGAAAGCTGTCGCCCTTGACATCCACCTCGTGCCGTGTCAACAGGATACAGATTTAAACTTCAAACACTTCACGTTTAAAGGAACCACGGTAAAGTAATTACTCCTTTTCGACTGGTGGACAAAAGAAGGAAAAAAGACGGAACCAAAAAGGAATAATCACAATGAGAAAGCTAAAGCAGCTGTCAAAGAAGAGCGCAGCAAATCCAATAAATGGGCAGTGGGCCGGGATGGAGAATGCCTCTCAGAGATGATGTAATCCAGTGCCAGACAACGGGTAATTCAGGCCTGATGGGTGCTGCGAGACGCCCATTTTATGGGTGGTGTGGGCGGCAGGAAGTAGTACACTAGACTGGAAAGCTCTGTGCCTGGGTCTTAAGTTGCAGGTCCACCAATCAGGCAGTAGACTTTGGACTCAAGCGGCTAAGTACATAATGTCTGTTTCTTGGCCGTTTGCTCATTCGGTATACAACGTTCTCTTTCGGCCATGGCAAGGATGCAGCAGTCTTTTCGATATGTGTCTCTGTGTTCTTTCTGTTTGGTGTTTATCTGAAAGAAAAAAAGCTGCAGTAGAGGAGAGAGGCATTAGTTTGGTCTGAAGATGATCATGAGGGAGTTTCCGTCAGCCTTTTCCTCAATGCGCTGGCTTATGAAGCTCAGGTAGTTCTACATAGCGAGGTTTCCAAGAGCAAACAATAGACTGAGCATCAAAACATCATTTAGGGCTTTTGTGCCTGGGCTTGAATTTCTGGGGTACTCTACTCTTGTGTTAGGTGGACTGCCAGGAACCTGCCAGGAACAAACAAAAAATTAATAGTATTATATGGAACACCAGATACTATGCAAACCCTTATGAAAATAAGTCCAGGTCATGCTGGGGGGAAAATAATAATAATTCTATTTTAATTATATATATATATATATATATATATATATATATATATATATATATATATATTGGTATGCTATTGGATAATAGCTATAATAATGATAATACATTATTTTCATGATAGTACATATAGCTGACATGCTACTATAATGCTTCTGGACATCTTGCATTATAGTAATACAAATGTATTATTATTATTATTATTATTATTAATCATCATCATGAAAATAATGTCAGAATACAAAAAATCTTTGTGAAAAGGAAAATCTAAATTGTGCAAAATATCGTTTCTTACATATTTCTCAGTTTTGGTGTAAAATACAACCTGGAAATATGCTGGACGGGTATTGTGATATTGACCTAAACCCTCTAAAGCTTTTGCAGTACATGTTGAGCAAGTGACTGTACAAGGGCTATGTGTGATTACAACACATTTACAATAAAGCTGTGCAGTTGTGCTTTGCCTCTGGACGCAATAGTCATCAAGCCTTTTCCCTCATGCACAAGCAAGAGATGCTTATAGATAATGCTTCAACTCACTGGCTTGGAAAGTTTCATCTCTGCACTTCTTACCTCACTTCCGCAGATGTAGTCTTTTGATGGATAGCAATCAAGTTCCTGCAAGGAAATAAGGTTATCCTTCAGATATGGAATTAAGTATAATACGATACTGTCTTGTTTGAGAGATCTGCAGTATCCCTCTGTAATGCATGTCTATCTTATCTATCATCTGACAATGAGTCTTATGTGAAGCGCTATCAAGCTCACTGATATGTCTCTTTTTTATTTTTTATAGATTTTTTGGGGGTTCAGAACCTCCAGAATATAGCGATCCAGTTCAATAATGTGACTTGTCTGACAGAAGAGTTCCAAGTGTTTCTAGACAGAAAGTAGAAGTAAAAAAAAAAATCCAAAATATAATTACAAAATGTGCATATTAATGCATGCAAATACATTGTAATCCTCTAAATGTGTGAGTGTGCTAGTTTCTGCTCTGATAGGGCTCTTCCACAGATCTGTAAAGGGTAATGAACGGACTGATGAGGCTCTTGCAGCAGCATGATTTATCTGAACTACTGGAATATCAATCAAAATATGTCATTATGTCACTCAGTTCTTAAGCTTGTGTTTAAAGAGATGTGATTTTGTGCAGAGCTGAAAAAGTCAGAGGGATCTTTGTTACAGCTAGCTGGTACTTTCATGTTTTGATTTGCTCAATGGTGGTTGAAAAGTTTGATAATCACAGATTTATAAAACTTATTTTGTTAATACGCTTGAAGGGATAGTATACCCCAAAGAGGACAATTTTGTAATTTACTCAACTTTATTTAATGTCAAACTAGTAGGCTGTATTCCAATTTTTGCACAATTTTAAAGGAGAGTTTTCAACAAATTATAGGATGACCATAAAAATTGTATAAAGTAAAAATTATTTATATATATATATATATA